TAATATGCTGCAGTTGTTTTTGTTTACTCCATAACAGCATAACTTAAATAGTAGTATTAATTGAATAATATGCTGCAGTTGTTTTTGTTTACTCCATGACAGCATAACTTAAATAGTAGTATTAATTGAATAATATGCTGCAGTTGTTTTTGTTTACTCCATGACAGCATAACTTAAATAGTAGTATTAATTGAATAATATGCTGCAGTTGTTTTTGTTTACTCCATGACAGCATAACTTAAATAGTAGTATTAATTGAATAATATGCTGCAGTTGTTTTTGTTTACTCCATGACAGCATAACTTAAATAGTAGTATTAATTGAATAATATGCTGCAGTTGTTTTTGTTTACTCCATGACGACATAACTTAAATAGTAGTATTAATTGAATAATATGCTGCAGTTGTTTTTGTTTACTCCATGACAGCATAACTTAAATAGTAGTATTAATTGAATAATATGCTGCAGTTGTTTTTGTTTACTCCATGACAGCATAACTTAAATAGTAGTATTAATTGAATAATATGCTGCAGTTGTTTTTGTTTACTCCATGACGACATAACTTAAATAGTAGTATTAATTGAATAATATGCTGCAGTTGTTTTTGTTTACTCCATGACAGCATAACTTAAATAGTAGTATTAATTGAATAATATGCTGCAGTTGTTTTTGTTTACTCCATGACAGCATAACTTAAATAGTAGTATTAATTGAATAATATGCTGCAGTTGTTTTTGTTTACTCCATGACGACATAACTTAAATAGTAGTATTAATTGAATAATATGCTGCAGTTGTTTTTGTTTACTCCATAACAGCATAACTTAAATAGTAGTATTAATTGAATAATATGCTGCAGTTGTTTTTGTTTACTCCATGACAGCATAACTTAAATAGTAGTATTAATTGAATAATATGCTGCAGTTGTTTTTGTTTACTCCATGACAGCATAACTTAAATAGTAGTATTAATTGAATAATATGCTGCAGTTGATTTTGTTTACTCCATGACGACACCCGTCTCTTTTGTTTTCCTCCCTCTAATACATAGTATTATAATTGCTTGCGGAGTAATTCCTCTTCTGCTTGCTACACAGATATATCTGCTGACTGCAGCAATCAAACATAATATCTCATTACATGTGTGCGCTTTTCTGATAGCCTCAGATTCTGATTGTCCGCTATTATTAGGATTTATAGAATCTTGCAACCTGAATAGCTGTAAACTATAAACGTTCTAAGTAGAGGCCTGCTGAGTACGTTGTAGAGGTGACTGGCACGTTGTTGTAATCAGTACTTATACAGGTTATATAGGTTATAATATAACCTACTACACTTGTATAAAATACTTAATCACTACTTATATAATCTACTCGTCTGCCAGTGTTTGTCTGCTATCTAATATTCTAGGTCGACTACAGAAAGTACGCCTTGATATGAAGCTTTTTTTAGCTCTTATTATATAACTGTCTCGTTTGGACCACATAATTGCTAATATCGCTAATAATCGTCTGTTATAGAAGTTCTTACTATTGCCCTGTAAAGTACGTGACGTTCTTAGCTGTTTCAGAAGATTGTACTAATATAACCGTAGTAACTAGTTTACCAAGGTTATATTATCACTATATAATATAGATTTTATAATCGGTTAGAATATTACACCCCTCTTTATGTGCTGCTGAATTGTAGATTTTAAAAATTTCGATTGATTTACGTCGTCTTTTCGCTGCTTTAAGTTTATTTCGACTGTTTGTTAACTAAATTGCTCCAATTCATAGATGCAGTCATCAACGCAGTCATAAAATATTCTAGTATTCTAGTATAAGTCAACTGGATTAGATTATACGCTTCGTAGCTATACTTATTATATAACGTAAATAATCAATTCGATTTAAAAGCTCTTTCTAAATTTGTTTCCTAGTAAATTTGAATTTGTATTTTCAAAGTAGTTGATAATCTTCTAGTTTCGTTGTGTGTAGTTTGGTTGTGTGAAGGTATTAGTTGTAGATTAATACAATACAAGCTAATTTGATTATCCGGACATAACAGACCTACCAAGAACTATGTAGAAAGAGGCGGAAAGTCCCCTACTAAAGCTGGATAACCCTCTCTGCACACAGTCCCTCCCAGCTCACAGCGCCACCTTGATAGCCTCCCCACTATAATCAACACTACTTCACAGCCTCCCCACAACTCTGTAGTAAAGTTGTTGTTATATTAGAAACAAGAGGATTACAGGATGAATGGAGAGGATCGCGCTACTCGCTCTCTACAAAATCACCCGTCTAGCTGCTAATTATCGCAAGGTGTCCTAATTACAACTTAATTAGTTATTAATTGCTAGTAACAACTAATTACTAATAACAACTTTATTATTTATGTTGTTTGTTTGTTTGTTTTTAGAACCCGTCCCCAATCTCGTATCGGAAAATGACTAAACTCAGGTCTGAGTGTGAATACGGGTGGTAACTGCAAGTACTTACTAATTAGGTAATAATTACTAATATCAACTTAATTAGTTCTTAGTTACTAATAACATTTTATTCAGTTACTAATTACTTATAAAAACTTAGTTAGTTACTGTAGATTGTAGAATACTGTTGACTATTCAGGCTCTGTAAGATGGCAGTGTGTATACAGTGTGTGCTTAGTAATTGATGGTTTTGTACCACAAATGTTACATAAAATGTTAGTAAGGATAATAGTTAACTTGTAAAACAAGGAGACCAATCGTCCAGTGACTCGGATAAAACCTTCATATTGGACAACAAGAGGTCCCTAACCCCTGTGTAGTGTGTAGAGGTCTCTACTCCCTGTGTAGAGGTCTCTACTTCCTGTGTAGTCTATGTTTATTGGATAGAGGTCTCTACTTCCTGTGTAGTCTATGTTTATTGGATAGAGGTCTCTACTTCCTGTGTAGTCTATGTTTATTGGATAGAGGTCTCTACTTCCTGTGTAGTCTATGTTTATTGGATAGAGGTCTCTACTTCCTGTGTAGTCTATGTTTATTGGATAGAGGTCTCTACTTCCTGTGTAGTCTATGTTTATTGGATAGAGGTCTCTACTTCCTGTGTAGTCTATGTTTATTGGATAGAGGTCTCTACTTCCTGTGTAGTCTATGTTTATTGGATAGAGGTCTCTACTTCCTGTGTAGTCTATGTTTATTGGATAGAGGTCTCTACTTCCTGTGTAGTCTATGTTTATTGGATAGAGGTCTCTACTTCCTGTGTAGTCTATGTTTATTGGATAGAGGTCTCTACTTCCTGTGTAGTCTATGTTTATTGGATAGAGGTCTCTACTTCCTGTGTAGTCTATGTTTATTGGATAGAGGTCTCTACTTCCTGTGTAGTCTATGTTTATTGGATAGAGGTCTCTACTTCCTGTGTAGTCTATGTTTATTGGATAGAGGTCTCTACTCTGTAGGTTCTGTAGGTTCTGTGTAGAGGTCCCTACTCTGTACTCTGTAGGTCCTGTGTATGGTTTACTGATCCAGTGGGCACCCCTCTACTTTCTAGTAATGATCTGCTTATATCTTGCTCCAGATTACTAATGTATATTACCAGCACTGTATTACCTGCACTGTGCGTCAGCTAATAGCTCTAATTGGGCATATTAACTTCTCCCTACCCAATACCATGTATACCAGCTGGGTGACATTCAACTATACAGTATACAATACACTCTCTATACACAGTACTATACACTCACAATTATACTACCTCTCATATTTCTTATCTCCCTCCCTATAAACCCCTCTAAATAACCCACAGAGATCCTACTCCCTCTCCTGTTGAGATCCTACTTATACTCATACTCCCTCTCCATGTACTTCCTGTTAACCTTGTAGATCTGGTGTTTCATAGTCCATTGTGTTTAAAGTTATATTAAGTTGTTAATTATATAACTTATATCATTGTAAGAACTAATAAATAACTCAATTCACCTCGAGCATGTAAAGGGGCAAATTGTTTAGGTTTATTGAGGTTCTACCTATTTATACCCCTAACTTAATAATAATACTTGTAGTATGTAGTCCCAGTGATATTACATAATGCTAGATAAAGACATTATTATTATTCCTCATTAATACCAGTTAGTTTAAGTTAGTTACACAGTTAGAGACCAGGTATTTATAGTTCCCACACTGCACACATAGTGGTACACTTACTTCACTAACTGTTTCCTACACTGCTAGCTTATATAACATCACTCTTAGTGTTTAGAGTAAAGTTTTAGTAATGTGGTTAAACGAGTTCTCAAAATAGAAGCTTCATGAACATGATATAAAGCTATAGCAATAATATATCATAACTTTATATCGTCAAAGTTAGGGTGTTGATTCTAGAAACTCAGAAAAGCCATCAATTGTGCCCCACTTCTAGTTTGCAATGTTGTAACAGGTGAAGTAAGAGGGAGGTGTGAATACTGTAGAGATAGTACTTTAAGGGAGGTGTATGTAGTGATAGTGCAGAACTGTTACTGTATGTAGCATTTTGCGGAGGAGGTTACACTGTGTTACCTGTCTAGGAGGGTGTCTACACAGTGTGTTACCTGGTTTGACTGGAAGTAATGTAGATTGTGGTGCTGATATGTAACTACATTTACAGGTTTCTTCGCCAGGTCTCTGCCAACTACATATTCTAGAGTACTAAGTTAAGTGTTATTTTTAACTCTACTACACACTTACATACTCTAGAGTACTAAGTAAAGTGTTATCTTTAACTCCTCCAGTTCTTCTAGAACCTTCCGTCTTCCAGCGGTACTCTTCTGACTGGAGTAATTGCTGTGAAATTGTTAACTTCAGGCACAGACAGTGTTTATTCTTCTTCAAGTTATAGTTTAACTTTGTCTGGATATGAAAGTAACAAATTGGCAATATGAAGATCATCTTTACGTCGATAGAGAAAATAACGGCCGGTTTTAATTAAAAATAACCTAAGAGAAGCTAAGTCGGACAGCAAGGTTATAATAGCAACGTTACAATAACCCGTGTTAATTTCAGTACCGATATGAGGAAGGGAGAATGGTGGAGAAGAATGAGAGGCCAGTGAGACACAGTGAGACACACCCTGTCTCTACACATAATGTCTCTACTCTTGAAGAGAGGCAGGAAGAGAGCGGGGGTAGCAGGAGAAAGCTAACTCGACAAGTCACCAGCAAACTACTCCAACTCAAGTGTGAGTACTGTTTCTTATCATGTGGTGGGAGGGATGGTGGGTGGGGGGAGGGTGACCGGGGGGAGGGATGTGGGCTATGATAAAACTTTGATAAATTTTCTGGCAGTTTAACGGTCGGAAAAGTGAGACGGCTTTTAATGAGACGGAAAAAGAATTAATTAAAATGTCGTGTCACTCATCCAGTCTTTTTACTTGGAGGTGTTACATTGTAAGAGTATTCCGTTAAAAAACACCTGCTAGCACAGTATTTTATCATAATAATAATGCAACAAAAATTATACCTTAATTTAAATATCATGTGGTCAGGACGCACATTATCAGAACTAGCAGGAACCCGTATTTATATTCCTGAAACACCCTAGTACTGACACCCTTCTGTATTACTCTGTCACCGTGTCAGTAAATATTCAATATGTCTAGCTCAGTGAGGCGTGAGCTTGTCACGTGACATGCTGATCCAATTAGCAACATTGCCATGGTAACAGTACAGCTCTGCAACATTGCCATGGTAGCAGAGCGGCTCTGCAACTTCGTGCAGTGCAGTAATTCTGCCGAATTTGTACTGTAACACTACAGTCATAACACTGCACCTGTCAATATTATTATGTTGCTGTCTTTTTCACTATATTCTTATGTTACTTAATTTGTTTTTCAGTAGGCCCCATTTGTAAGAGTCTATATAATATATTTTACCATGAAAACAATTTGACTTTCAAAGTTGTAACATTAAGCCTATTAGTACTATGTTGCATAAGATATTGATTGTAACATCTGTTTTAAATGCTGGTAAATGATTGCATTTAACTGCAAAGTTAAATCTTTCATTATTCATCACTGTTTTGTCCTGAGTAAAGTTTAATTTTGTCCGTAAAATAAGAGGAAGTCTAGACAATAGGTCAGCAGCATATCTCAGCTTCTTAGCTACATTATTATATTTAATGGAACTTTTAAATTGTCGCTCTTTTCCTGGTCTTACGAGAGTTTACTCACTGTCTATTGGGTAGAGGTAGCTTCACTTAACTGGTATTATGTCTCTAGTGGAGGCAGTGTAGCTACTAGCTATGCAGTGTAGCTATACAGTGTGCTACAGTAAGGTTATCTTATTATAGTTTGTTAATATGGTGGGTGTTTATCTTTATTAACTTTACATCTAACATTTTCGACGTAAATTTGCATTGCTTGCTTTCTGTATTTTTAAAATATTTATTTCAGTTTTATGAAACCTTCTGACTTTATGAACGTGAATATAAGTATAACATTTTTATCAGATTGCTGATTGTTTATTTAATTAACGTAATATGCGCAACATCTTAGTATCTCTCTATCAATTGACTAGTTCACCCCCAAGATGAGAAGATGTAGTAGGTTTACTACTCAATCTGTAGAGTGTAGATGTGATACACCTCAGCACTTGTGATACACCTCAGCACTTGTGATACAACCCCATGACACTGTCCTACTGCTGCACCTAGCTCCTTACGTTACTGCTGCACCTAGCTCCTTACGTTACTGCTGCACCTAGCTCCTTACGTTACTGCTGCACCTAGCTCCTTACGTTACTGCTGCACCTAGCTCCTTACGTTACTGCTGAGATACATTCTGTGACATCTGAGAGCGTCCCATGAGAGCTGTGGAACTAGTTGGAAAGTTGGTTAAAACTGAAGAACTTGACTGATAGTTAGTGAGCGGTAAATCACTGGAGACTAAGTGTTAACTAGCAGTCTACAACTAGTAACACAGTAGTTAACAACTGTAACTAGCTGGTAGCTAGCTGGTAGCTAGCTGTAACAGAGTGACAGATGCCTCGGAAGAATGTGGAGAGACTCCTCAACTACCTCAAGTACAAGATCATCGTTAACAAGGGTAATTTAAAGCGGCTCAGTTACTGTTTACAATTTTGGAAGGAGGTATTTTGGAGGTATTTTGGAGGTAAGGGGGATATTGCTATTTGTCAGAGAAATTGTACGAGTTTTGCTATGGTAAATAAATAAAAAATACTTGATTTCGCCAGGAAGCGATCACAAAACTGGCAACACAACGTAATAAAACTGAAAGCATCAAAGAATTTGGACAATTCTAAGAACAAAAACAAACACATAACAAAAATAAAGATTATACGTGATCTCTATTGAGTAAGTATTGTTACCCAATAATGATCACGTATAATCTAACTTTACCGTCTAATACACCCCGTAATTATATTAAATTATTAGAACACAACGTATTCACTTCATTACTGTGTAACACTTTGAGCTGTTTACTTATCTGTTTTACTTATTGAGAGCATTGTGATTATATAATATGTCATGATTACAGTGCCCCTATCATATATCTTTATCGGAATGTTGCGTGAACCTTGTAGATAGTTAACACGATTAAATGTATCTAGTTGACCTTGTTAACATTGTTATTGTTCATCTCTTGTTCGTGTTCGAAGTTCACGATTGTAATTGTATTTGTATTGTTATAGTGTTGTTTGTTGGTGTGAGTAGTAGATACACCTGCTATTGTTATAGTGTTTGTTGGTGTGAGTAGCACCTTGTGTTGTTAGAATGAGCTTCTCTCGAGTTCACCCCTCTCAGTGTAGCGGTCGCAGGGTTTATTTGAAGTGTGAGTATTTTACCTTATATGGTAGTGTTACCATGGTTACACTACCATATAAGGTAATCTTTCTCTAGAGTTCTCCTTATTTAATGTGTAAGTAAACCATACTCCTGACCACATTGTTGTGTACAGACTAATTGATGTAAGTACGGTGCTTTACTAAAAGGGGAAACAGTTGATGTAAGTACAGTGCTTTACTAAAAGGTTATTCAAATTTGTTTTATATGGGGACCAAAATCCAATGTTTCAGCTTTTTTTCTGGTAAAAATTTGGCTGAAATTAAGATTTGGGTCGTAATTATACCCTCCTTTATAAGGACCTTATCCTCCTGACACTCTATGACACAATCTGTTTTCAGCATCTCGGGAGGAAGTGCAGAAGAGAACGTTCCAGAAGTGGGTGAACATGTACCTAAAACCACGTGGTACCCACGTGACAGACCTGTTCACTGATCTGAAGGATGGTGTGTTGTTGTTGCAGCTCCTAGAGCAGCTCTCCAGCGAGAAACTGGTGAGAACTTGCTTTTGTTTCACTTTCACTTTCACTTTCGCTATAATAGGATTTCGTTCGCCAAGTTCTCTCGTGCTATCAGCTGACTTAAGATCACGCAAGATTGCCCTTATTAAAACACTACTCCTTATTGTTTTCTCCAATTGTATGCTATCTTGAAGTCTAAACTGTTCAAACACTACACTACAAATAGATCTTCTAGTAGATTACTAACTAAAACACTACTCCTCAGGGTAGATCACGATGTGTAGATGAGAAACTAAAACACTACTCCTCAGGGTAGATCACGATGTGTAGATGAGAAACTAAAACACTACTCCTCAGGGTAGATCACGATGTGTAGATGAGAAACTAAAACACTACTCCTCAGGGTAGATCACGATGTGTAGATGAGAAACTAAAACACTACTCCTCAGGGTAGATCACGATGTGTAGATGAGAAACTAAAACACTACTCCCCAGGGTAGATCACGATGTGTAGATGAGAAACTAAAACACTACTCCCCAGGGTAGATCACGATGTGTAGATGAGAAACTAAAACACTACTCCTCAGGGTAGATCACGATGTGTAGATGAGAAACTAAAACACTACTCCTCAGGGTAGATCACGATGTGTAGATGAGAAACTAAAACACTACTCCTCAGGGTAGATCACGATGTGTAGATGAGAAACTAAAACACTACTCCTCAGGGTAGATCACGATGTGTAGATGAGAAACTAAAACACTACTACTCAGGGTAGATCACGATGTGTAGATGAGAAACTAAAACACTACTCCTCAGGGTAGATCACGATGTGTAGATGAGAAACTAAAACACTACTCCTCAGGGTAGATCACGATGTGTAGATGAGAAACTAAAACACTACTCCTCAGGGTAGATCACGATGTGTAGATGAGAAACTAAAACACTACTCCTCAGGGTAGATCACGATGTGTAGATGAGAAACTAAAACACTACTCCTCAGGGTAGATCACGATGTGTAGATGAGAAACTAAAACACTACTCCTCAGGGTAGATCACGATGTGTAGATGAGAAACTAAAACACTACTCCTCAGGGTAGATCACGATGTGTAGATGAGAAACTAAAACACTACTCCTCAGGGTAGATCACGATGTGTAGATGAGAAACTAAAACACTACTACTCAGGGTAGATCACGATGTGTAGATGAGAAACTAAAACACTACTCCTCAGGGTAGATCACGATGTGTAGATGAGAAACTAAAACACTACTCCTCAGGGTAGATCACGATGTGTAGATGAGAAACTAAAACACTACTCCTCAGGGTAGATCACGATGTGTAGATGAGAAACTAAAACACTACTCCTCAGGGTAGATCACGATGTGTAGATGAGAAACTAAAACACTACTCCTCAGGGTAGATCACGATGTGTAGATGAGAAACTAAAACACTACTCCTCAGGGTAGATCACGATGTGTAGATGAGAAACTAAAACACTACTCCTCAGGGTAGATCACGATGTGTAGATGAGAAACTAAAACACTACTCCTCAGGGTAGATCACGATGTGTAGATGAGAAACTGAGAGCTCTGGAGAATGTTGGTATGGCTCTTACATTCCTCCACAGCAAGGGGCTAAAAACAGTTAACATAGACGCTACCAATATAACGTCTGGGGATTCTACTCTCACTTTAGGCATGCTCTGGATCATCATTCTCAAGTTCCAGGTACTTTCACTTTCACTTTCTAGTTTCATAGTTTGATGTTCTAGCTCTGGACTGCCTGTGTTACATAGCTTAGCTGGGAGCTTTGTTAGCAGGCATCAGCCTTCTGGCCCTGTTTTAGTTGTTTTGGTATAATACTTGCCACTTCAATAAGTATATGCACCTGTATCCTACCTTATACCATTGCAGTGAGATGGGTTAGTGGTAGTGAAGTGTGAAGTGGGTTTCACATCATCTTTACCTACTCTATTAAAGTCTTTGTAAGCGTACTACTACTTCTATACGCACCTTTAGTCGCGAGCGTCTTACATTACAAGGTGCTATGACGTATAATGTATTTAAATACCAACTGAATATTTAACATATTTTCTCCTTTAAAGACATAAGCGAGCCAGTTGTGGTTCCTTGACTACAAGTAGTACATTGTACAATGTACATTATAACCACTGTAACTACAAGGCAGTACATTGTACAATGTACATTGTACAATGTACATTGTACAATGTACATTATAACCACTGTAACTACAAGGCAGTACATTGTACAATGTACATTATAACCACTGTAACTACTGCCAGTACATTGTACAATGTAAATAATAACCACTGTAACTAGAGGCAGTACATTGTACAATGTACATAATAACCACTGTAACTACAGGCAGTACATTGTACAATGTACATTATAACCACTGTAACTACAGACAGTACATTGCACAATGTACATTATAACCACTGTAACTATAACAGACAGTACATTGTACTATGTACATTATAACCACTGTAACCGTTAATGTATAGCCCCCTGCAACCGATATACACTGTAAAACTCTCCTGTAATTGGGTTACGAAGCTACCTGGACTACACGGTTACTGACCACTGTAATCACGTGGTGTACTGAACTTCAGGGACTGTGTATCCTAGCATCCAGAACTCTGTGTATCCTAGCATCCAGAACTCTGTGTATCCTAGCATCCAGAACTCTGTGTATCCTAGCACCCAGAACTCTGTGTATCCTAGCACCCAGAACTCTGTGTATCCTAGCATCCAGAACTCTGTGTATCCTAGCACCCAGAACTCTGTGTATCCTAGCATCCAGAACTCTGTGTATCCTAGCACCCAGAACTCTGTGTATCCTAGCATCCAGAACTCTGTGTATCCTAGCACCCAGAACTCTGTGTATCCTAGCACCCAGAACTCTGTGTATCCTAGCACCCAGAACTCTGTGTATCCTAGCATCCAGAACTCTGTGTATCTTAGCACCCAGAACTCTGTGTATCCTAGCATCCAGAACTCTGTTCAACAATCGTGTTTAGTTTGAACCTGCTCCCGTCTCTATTACCTCCCTCGTCAAACCACCAAAAACGTCGCCCCATAGCTCTGTTCTTACAACCCCGTCACTTTCCAAATATTGGTTTTGTTTTTTATATAATACAGTTAATAAGTTACAACGTTTTGCTGTTTGATGAAGGAGTAATATTTCAGATACATGGTATGAGTAATGGAGACCCCAACACCAACCCTGCTACCTCTGATTCTCCCTGTAGAGTTCTAGGTTAGTTTTACCAGTTACTGAATGTTAACTTAAATTAACCTTTTCATTACAGTTATATTAGAATAACTTGCTTCCAGGGACCGATCTGAACGGCAATTTTAAGAATTTTATCTTCGAAAGGAAACATTTAATCTTAGGTTTTTTTTAGCATCTACTTTTAACGAGCTGTGGTACTTAATACAATAATACAATAACTGATATATATTGTAATACAATCATTACTTAAATTATTTATTATTATTATTACGATATATTATATTAAATAAAAGTATTTATAGTAAGAGAGTACTAAATTTAACAAAAGTACCCATGATAACGGTGATAATACTGTAGGTGGGAAAGGAAGGAGTTTAATTGAAGAGGTGATGCATGAAATAAAGGATATAAGACATTTGAACACTGGTTTGTGGTTATCAGCAGAGTTTTACATGTTAACAATTCCCCCTATCGTAGATTCTCCTGATTAAGAGATGTCAGATGACTGTACCATTATAATGTTATGATTATCATTAGTATATTGTGCATCCTGTTTAGTATAAAGTGTTTCAATTATTGAAGAAAGAAGCTCTCTCCCTCTTTTAGCTAATACCTTTTAGCACCATATTGATCTAGCTATAGCTATTAATTTAGTACGATCATTGATTAAAATCACAATTAATAAAGAGTTATGATTATAATTAATGATTAATGAACAAATTATTGTTATTATTCTGATTAATGATTAATGAACTAACCCACTACACGACTAGTTAAACTGTCCAATAGTCCGCACATTTACCAGACACTCAGGCTACATCTTATTATTGAGTCTGATCATTAATCATGATGGTTTATTGCACTGTAAACACCAATAGTAATAGTAAACACGACTAAGTGAGAGTGTATGCTACATGACTCTATGTGGTTTATTAGTGTTTGTGTAGACTGCATAATAATACTCACTAGTTGGCTATCATTATACTACTCAGCCACGCCCTGACACCCAGCAGTGTCTAGTGTTTGTAAACTACTATAGCACACTTTACTCTCTATCTGTATATTGAGAGTAATGATGTTCAACACACTACACACTAGTTACCTACAAGTATGCTGGTTTACATATGGTTTACATTACAGTCTATTCAACATACTGCTGAACATAACGAAGTTATAGGACATTGAATATTGACTTCTGAGAAAGGACCACCTGGATACAACAGTAGTATAATAATATGAGGGATTTACAACTTGTTTAATATATCCTCTTTAAACCAGTGCCACAATTTACTAGAGGAGCTCGCTGTATCTCACTAGATAAGAGATTTTTATCTCATACAATGGCTCAGAAGTAACAAGTTGTTATAATCTCACACTCACTCCCTCCCCAGGAAGTACATTACAGCAGCAGTTAAGAGGCTGGCTACAAGAAACTCTGGGAACTACCGAGCAGTTCAACTTCTCTACTAGCTGGAATAATGGCATACTTCTCTGCAGACTCCTTCACGCTTACAGGTACCTTACTTACCTTACTTACCTGTTACTTACCTGTTCCACTGGGGTGGTGTCTCTACTATAATTCAAAGAATTGTTTTTGTTGTCTGTATGTACGACCGCCCACGTGCAAATCAGACGAAAAATAGGAATTTAGGTAACAACCAAAAGGTTCCTTAGCAACGGTGTTTTAATGCACACGTGCACGTGCAAAGATTGTTTTAACGTCATTTTGATCGTTTTTTGGTAATTACGTTGTGTTTAAAGTGTTTTATAATTAAATCGGCTGTATCTTCGGTTGGGATGCGATTAAAACTTTCTTTCAAAGAAGACTACTAGCTTCGTCCCTGTTACCACGGGCTTTCTAGTATATTTATAAAATCAAAGACTAAATAGGACTATAATATTTAAAATTACACAAAGTTAACATTTCTGTTAATTGTAACTCCGTGTTCCAGGCCTGACAAAGTAGTGATGGCTAGTGTAAGTAAGATGTCGCCAGTAGAGAGAGTACAACATGCTCTCAACGTGGCTAAGAGTTGCTTCTCTGTGGAACCTCTTCTCATGCCGCACGGTACGTTACATAGGTTACCCTGGTTACCTTGGTTACCTTGGTTACCTTGGTTACCTTGGTTACCTTGGTTACCTTGGTTACCTTGGTTACCTTGGTTACCCTGGTTACCTTGGTTACATAGGTTACCTTGGTTACATAGGTTACCTTGCTTATCCTGGTTACCTTGGTTACATAGGTTACCCTGGTTACCTTGCTTACCTTGGTTACCTTGGTTACCTTGGTTACCTTGGTTACCTTGGTTACATAGGTTACCTTGGTTACCTTGGTTACATAGCTTAGGTTACCCTGGTTACCTTGGTTACATAGGTTACCCTGGTTACACTGGTTACACTGGTTACCCTGGTTACCTTGGTTAGATAGGTTACATAGGTTACCTTGGTTACCTTGGTTACATAGGTTACCCTGGTTACATAGGTTACCTTGGTAACCTTGCTTACCTTGGTTACCTTGCTTACCTTGCTTACCTTGCTTACCTTGCTTACCTTGCTTACCTTGCTTACCCTGCACTGGTTACCCTGGCTACCTTGGTTACCTTGGTTACCCTGGTTACATAGGTTACCCTGGTTACCTTGCTTACCTTGGTTACCTTGGTTACCTTGGTTACATAGGTTACCTTGGTTACCCTGGCTACCTTGGTTACCCTGGTTACCTGGGGGCCGGGAGATTTTTACCTTGGGAACGAGGGCAGGGTAACTACTAACGTTGTTTACTAAAAATAATGTATAATACTAGTTAAACATAAAATTTCGAAGTATCAGCTGCCGGATAAGACTTAAACTTATCATGCGCAAATAACCGACAGACTATTACCCAGAACTGACTCGATTCTTTGATCTAGCAGTAGCCAACACAGCTTTTCTCTGTACCTCTGACAACACTATTTATTACCTATATACTACAATGTTTAGAGTTTACAGTAAATATTGGAACTGTTCCAAGTTGTAACACTACACCCCGGATACTAAAGTGAACCCTCTCTACAGCTCACTGCACCCTGTAACTAGGTTCTAACTCACTTAGCCTCACTTAACCGCCTTAGTTCACTCGTGTAACATTAGTTTTAATCAGGACCATGTCCCCTGGGATTAGCATCATGTTATACTGTATTAGAGTGCTGTAAAGTAGTTATACTGTATTAGAGTGCTGTAAAGTAGTTATACTGTATTAGAGTGCTGTAAAGTAGTTATACTGTATTAGAGTGCTGTAAAGTAGTTATACTGTATTAGAGTGCTGTAAAGTAGTTATACTGTATTAGAGTGCTGTAAAGTAGTTATACTGTATTAGAGTGCTGTAAAGTAGTTATACTGTATTAGAGTGCTGTAAAGTAGTTATACTGTATTAGAGTGCTGTAAAGTAGTTATACTGTATTAGAGTGCTGTAAAGTAGTTATACTGTATTAGAGTGCTGTAAAGTAGTTATACTGTATTAGAGTGCTGTAAAGTAGTTATACTGTATTAGAGTGCTGTAAAGTAGTTATACTGTATTAGAGTGCTGTAAAGTAGTTATACTGTATTAGAGTGCTGTAAAGTAGTTATACTGTATTAGAGTGCTGTAAAGTAGTTATACTGTATTAGAGTGCTGTAAAGTAGTTATACTGTATTAGAGTGCTGTAAAGTAGTTATACTGTATTAGAGTGCATGATTAACAAGATAATGTAAGGTTTAAACTAATACCTACCACTAAACTTGACATATTTTGATCATTATAGTGTTCCTGCGTGAACGAGTTATGTGGTGATATTAATTAATACTCATCTAATTATAACGTCACATAACTTCTAGTTATAACGTCACATAACTTAATTAAGCAATGTTAGGAGGGTTCACTATTGTACACCAGGTGAGGTTACTAAACACTACCTCAACTACTCTAGTACTCTCTGTAGTGTTACTGTAGTGTTATATACTAACAACACTTACTATATACTAACAACACTTACTCTACTTCAATTATACGATTATATTTATTATTGCCTATACCGAGACAAGAGCTACAGAATAAAGTCAGATACTTAAAAACTTAAATACCTGGTAGTAATGTTATTTATAACATGTTGTAATTACAACCAACCATCTAAAGTAAGAATGTTAAGAGTTAACAGATAAGTGCCATATTGTGCCACATAGAAACACACAGTGTTATAATAGTAGTATTAGTGTGTTATAGTTGCACACTAACATGGTTGTGAGCTTCTAATTGACTAATTACAGGGTGGATATTGGGCGCCTCCCCACTGTTACCTACGTGTATATTCTGGGAACTAATAACTAAATAATGAATTCTACAAACTAATAAACTTCTCTTACTTAGTCGGGTTGTCTAATCTCTTACAACACACACACACCTGTCTATAGTATTGTAACCCTGCCAATTGTATACAATAAACAGTATTACAAACTCTCTGTGTGTATTAATTATACCCCTCTCAACAGTGTTTTGTGTAGAATATGACACAGTCAGATGATAGAACCTGCTATATAATACGTGTAGTAGTAGTACGCAATAAACACACTGTTTGAGCTATTGTTTTGAAGTAATCACATCACCAATAGTTTGAATAGAGGCGGCAAAATAGAGTCAATATAGTAGAGCTGTCGCACAACATGAGCCAATATAGTAGAGCTGTCGCACAACATGAGCCAATATAGTAGAGCTGTCGCACAACATGAGCCAATATAGTAGAGCTGTCGCACAACATGAGCCAATATAAGAATATAGTAGAGCTGTCGCACAACATGAGCCAATATAGTAGAGCTGTCGCACAACATGAGTCAATATAGTAGAGCTGTCGCACAACATGAGCCAATATAAGAATATAGTAGAGCTGTCGCACAACATGAGCCAATATAGTAGAGCTGTCGCACAACATGAGTCAATATAGTAGAGCTGTCGCACAACATGAGCCAATATAGTAGAGCTGTCGCACAACATGAGTCAACAGAGCTGCATTGTTTGGATACCTCACTGACACAGACCACCAGCCCAGCAAACACACCTACTACATAGTGTTAACAGTAACTAGTTACCTAGTTACTAGTTACTAGTTACTTAGTTACTACCTGATAGTTTTATAGTGTAGTTTGAGGGGCAAAAGAAAGTTGGGACACTTTTTTAATGGTTGATATTGTATGATATGGTGTACGCATGTGAGTTGAAGTGAGGTCGGACAAGCTTTCAATTAAAATACTCTATACTACCGAATAAAGGGATGCAGTAATACATGTAACAAGTTATCCCAACTCTAACAGACTCTTTATTTACTCTACTACACACTAATAAACACACTAATAAACACACTACTGAACACACTAATAAACATTATACACACTAATAAACACACTAATAAACACACTGATAAACACTACAACTTCAGATGTAGCTACTAGTATCCCTGATGAGAGAGTAGTGTTAGTGTACTTGTCTGTACTGAAGAGTGTACTCCTGGGTAAACACACTGCCAGACAGAGAGCGGCTCACTTTATGGTTCGTTAATTTTAATATAATTAATATAGTTAATAATAACATTTTAAACGATCATTTCACAAATTATTTCGGAAGATTTCCATCAGTTGAGAATTGCACGAACGGGTCGTGTCGTGATGAGAGGATAGATACCAAATAAGATAATTTAATAATATTTGCTCCGTATTTTGGCCATATTCCAAAAGAAATACCACGTGCCAGAGAAGTTAACTAACACGTGCCAGAGAAGTTAACTAACACGTGCCAGAGAAGTTAACTAACACGTGCCAGAGAAGTTAACTAACACGTGTCAGAGAAGTTAACTAACACGTGTCAGAGAAGTTAACTAACACGTGCTAGAGAAGTTAACTAACACGTGTCAGAGAAGTTAACTAACACGTGTCAGAGAAGTTAACCAACACGTGTCAGAGAAGTTAACTAACACGTGTCAGAGAAGTTAACTAACACGTGTCAGAGAAGTTAACTAACACGTGCCAGAGAAGTTAACTAACACGTGTCACTCAGGAGCTACAGGAGAGATCACGTGTTATGATGGGAGAACTAGAAGAAGCTCAGGAGCATTGTGTTGAGGAAATGGCAGGAGAGTGGAGGAAACTCAGAGATACACTCCACTCAGAGCAACCTCCACAGGGCCTTAACGAGGTACAAATAACTATTAACTTATCTAGTATAGGGGGGGGGGGGGGGGGGCTCTCTAAGTTCAAAGTTGGGAATGTTAATGTTAATTATGATCTCTTAATCCTGCTCCTCTAAGTACTACTAAGCTAACATGTTGACCACAACTAGCTCTACTATCTATTAACCCAGGTGTTCCTGGTGTCGTCACGACAGTTAGCTTCACAGTACGATAAGAGCAACAAAGCAGCCCAGAAGAAACTACACACATACGCTACCGAGGTTAGAACAATTTGTTGTTATTTTTTCAACCTTATTCTAGCAACCATGGGTATCCTGCCAAAAATCATGCTTCATCCCCTGTTGTCGTACACAGGGACCTAAAAACTCCGCATTTTTCCTCATTTTAACTTTAATAAGGTAAAATGACCAATTTCTGTAGCACTAGAAAATGTATCGTTATCCTTAATTTGGTTGAATATTAGAAGTACACGCTGTGAGTATTAGAATAACACCAGGTATAGAATTAATTATCTAATATTTAAAATGCAGCTGCAAGAGTTGGATAAGTTCGAGAAGGAGATTAAGAGATTAAAACATCTAGCTAGCTACGTTCACTCTTACAGAGACAGTCTTGCCAAAGTAGTGAGTTTTACTTTATTTGTTACTACTTTAGTCTTTACTTGATTCATTAAAATAGCTGTTAATAATATGACAATCTTTTAAATCTGTGTTTCTTAGTCTGTCCTGAGAAATACTCTTTAGTTTTTAAAGCCGTGTTTTAACTTTAAAACTTCTTTATTTCTGAAGGTAGCAAATGAGAAAGTGGTATGTAGTCTTCCATGTTGTAATAATGTGTACTGTGTAGCACTGTGATATTGTGTAGCACTGTGTTATGTGTTCTGTGTTATATTGTGTATTGTACTAAGTAGACAGGTAGACAACATGTAACAGTACCTGTGTTTAGTTAGAGTATAGGTACTACCATTACCTGTGTTGCTATACTCTGTTGTCTGCAGCCAGCTAAATCCGCTTGTAAAGCCTCAGTTTAGTTCATGTGTGTTTTAAAACTCATTAATTGCTGTGTAAATTAACTTTACAGTCTACATGAATTATTAAACAAATTTCACCTAACGTTTCACACTTCTTATCCACAGCATAAACATTGCTTTAACTTCCTACTACATTGCTTTGTTTTGCTTGCTGTTCTCATTTGTTAGCTTGATGATAAGTATGAAAACCGTGTAAGTCTTCTTCGTAAGTTTATCTCGATTTGTTACCAGCTATGAACTTGTGTTCTCATCAGAGTTTTAAACAGCGCTTTCTCGTGATTTAAATTGATTTAGTTCACCGTTCACGTCTTGACTTTTGGAGGTCAGTAAAAGCAGCTGCTACAAGTGGAGTAACTGTAACGCGCGAGGTAAAATTATTGTAACAAACATTGTACAGTGCGCGTAATTTGGCGCTATAGTTATTATATTATAGAATTTATCATGTTTTGATGAATTATCGATATAATAATATATAATAAGTTGTCTTTATTACTTTATTACTTCATTTAATAAACTGTGATAATTTCTAAGTTCTTGCCAAAATACTTACACCTTGAAAAGAAAAAAAATTTCAATTTGTGTCCGTAGAATCCCCATTCAGTTGATAACCGGTCAGCTCAGTTCGCTGGCAGCAGCTATTTGTTGGGTTCTATGAGATTTTGTTTTCTCTTATTATTTCGTAGTATGTTTATATTTGTATAACACACAAATGCCACGATCAATTGTAGTCACAAATCAATATTTATTACAAGATCTTTTCAATCAATATTGCTATTTTCCTTTTTTCTTAAAAAATTAAAAGTTCTAATCAACAAGTTAAATGACTACTTCGGCCTCCGGGTCTTACAATAGCTTTTTTTTCCGATCTATAAAATTATTATCAGCTAATTTAACCGGTTTACTGGAGACCATACTCTTAGATGTTGTTGAAAAGAGCCACTGAAAAATGTTGACAGTTATTGTTGATAGCATCGTAATCCCTCCCAGTGCATTCGGTGTCGTAAATACAGTCGTTCAGCTCTCGTAACTTCATTGGTTTCTTCATAGGTGCCCACTCGTCTTCTCTGAATGCTGGACTACACAGCTGCTTATCTTTGTACACATATCTCTTGGGGCGTAACTCCGGGCTGTGTATCCAAACGTCAGGATTGGAGGGACCTTGAACAATACTCAAAGCAGCATGGGCTTTGTTCCTCTCTTGGAGGAGAGCTCCGAAGGGTACTGCTTTGTCATCATCTCGTCCTACTTCCTCCTTGGGTTTAATAAAGTCCCCGTTACCAAACTGAGCGATGAAGTATGCTACCTGGGGAGGATTTAAAGCCTTGCATTCAGCCCTGGCTACAAAAGCCCAGTGCTCAGTAGGTGGCAACTCCACCAGTGTATTAACCACATCTCTAGCAATGTGTCCTCCGGCTGGTAGCAGTATCCTACATCCCCAGATAGCCTTGTGAGTGAATTTATAAACTCGCCCCTGGAGACTATTCATGAGAGCGTCGTCCACTGAAAGGGGTTTATCATCCGGCCCAATGAGGTCCGAGTTCAGGTCCTGATTTCTAAGTGAGTCGTATCTTGCCCCAGCCGCACCTGCAAGTATAGCAGCGGACATGGCAGACATACCAACATCGTCAAATATGGAGGTATTCGTCATCTGACTTTGCTGGAGAATCTTATTATATGAATCCATGTTTGACAATGAATTAGTTTAAAGATGTGAGGTAATTGCAGTATTTTAGCAGGTCGTTATATCTAAGTAAACAGTGACCTCATTTCCCAATAACCAAGTGCGTGTATTAGGCAACAATTCAAAACAGCATAATTTAGGGCTGCAATCGATAAAAGAACCATCACTTAATAAGTTAAAAGGGTTTTGAGGAAACCTCACAGTAGAAAAGAGGTATCGTATTAGGAGTGTGACAAAGTTATCCAAATATTACCGTATAACCGTTCGATCCCTGCCCTTTAACCAATGTTGTATTATACTTGTTAGATGTAGTTGTACCTGATCTACTATATTTCAGAACATGAAGCAGCTACAGTTAACTAAGTCACAAAAATTTGATTTTAAAATTCGTTGAATAAGGCTTCCAGCTAGTGAATGTACAGGTTTGAGGAAGCCTATGAGCTAGGTAAGCAGCTGCAGATAACTTAGTTTTTACCTTAAATTATATGAACAAATTCATAGACTTGAATTTGTTCATATAATTTACAAAGCGTATGTTATTGCCCACGTTAAGGGGCCTGTTAATAATTAATTAAATTATTAGCTATTTTAGATTTAATAATAATACGGCACAACACTCATACTCGACAAAAGCTTTAAAATCGTACAAGAAAAACGTATGGTCAGGAACAGGTTGTAATAATACGGAATATAGAAACTGTCCCTTTGATCACGAATCAATACGAACAAAAAGGTAGATTGATAATAACGTGAATATGAGGTAAATAAGATGAGCTATAGGAATGAATATGTTTCGCTCTATAAGGCAGCTGACCCGGGCCGAGTCTATCGAGCACAAAATAAAAGGATGAAACATTTTTCCTGTAAGCTTGTAGTAAAGTATACTAGCTTGTTGAGTATTACATACGATGAGCTATTCTTACTTTATATCACAAGATCCAATCATGTCCTAACATTCCCTACTCAAAGTCAATATCCCAATCACTGTAATTGATAAGCTAAGAAGGTACACGAAACGTGTGTGAACAATATTGCGTTATCCAGCTATTGTCGCGTCGTGCGAAGTACCTACAGCTTTACACGTCACGAGGCACACCATTCCTACTCAATACAAGTATTGTATCCTACAAATCTTCTCTCCAGATACTATTTATTCAGGCAATACTATCGAGGATTCGAGAATATATCTATTTATATTTAAAACTTGACGAACAAATCCATAATTTCCACAGTATAACAGGGTCATAGATCAGACAAGGCTGGTCGGTCGGAGGTCGGTCGGAGGTCGGTCGGGCGCCGGTCGGCGGTAGGTGAACGCCGGTCGGAGGTCGGTCGAAGGTTGGTCGGAGGTTGGTCGGAGGTCGGTCGGAGGTCGGTCGGAGGTCGGTCGGAGGTCGGTCGGGCGCCGGTCGGGCGCCGGTCGGAGGTCGGTCGGAGGTCGGTCGGAGGTCGGTCGGAGGTCGGTCGGAGGTCGGTCGGAGGTCGGTCGGAGGTCGGTCGGGCGCCGGTCGGAGGTCGGTTGGAGGTCGGTCGGAGGTCGGTCGGAGGTCGGTCGGAGGTCGGTCGGGCGCCGGTCGGAGGTCGGTCGGAGGTCGGTCGGGCGCCGGTCGGAGGTCGGTTGGAGGTCGGTCGGAGGTAGGTCGGGCGACCATTCTATGAGATAATTTTGGACTCGAGGCTCCCCCTGGTAATGTGATCTCGGAAGGCAGGCCTCCCCTTTGCAACACGAGCTCGGAAGCGGGAGCTCTCGATACAGAAGGTACGTATCGAGAATGAGTCTGACCGAAAATTTTCTAAGTCAAGTTTTTCGGAGGTCGTTCGGGCGCCGGTCGGAGGTCGGTTGGGCGCCGGTCGGAGGTCGGTCGGTCGGAGGTCGGTCGGGCGCCGGTCGGAGGTCGGTCGGGCGCCGGTCGGAGGTCGGTTGGAGGTCGGTCGGAGGTCGGTCGGAGGTAGGTCGGGCGACCATTCTATGAGACAATTTTGGACTCGAGGCTCCCCCTGGTAATGTGATCTCGGAAGGCAGGCCTCCCCTTTGCAACACGAGCTCGGAAGCTCGCTACATGACGTACGTTGCATATATTTTTTCGCATGCGAAGCGCGCGCCGGGCGGGTGGCGTGCACGCTTCACGTGCACTAAAGGGATATTAGCGACAAAATAAACGCAATTGTCGGACGTGAGGAGAATGAGGACTAC